GATGATGGCCACCAAAGAAAGAGAGATCTCCATGTCTCAAGAGTCCTCCTGCTAAATGAGTACAACATCATCGCAATATATTGGGAAGGCACAATGGAGAACACGCTTCATGTTGTAGCTTAATGGCATACGAATATAATACGACATGGAGAACGTATTGCCATGTGCAAGGAATAAAAAGCATTTTGATGTCGGCAACACACTCTTCTCTTTACTATCCTCCTTAGACGTAAAGGATATATATATATATATATATATATATATATATATATGTATGTATGTATGTATGTATTGTATATCATATCTATGAATGTATAATATATAATATTTTTGGGAAAGAAGATAATTTTATTTTCTTTATTTTATCATGTTTTTATTTTATTTTGGTAAAGAAGATAATATTTTTGATGCCATCCATTTTAAAACGATCAGATAGATAAATTTTAAATATAATTATATTGTGAGAGAAAGAGGCTTCCAATAAAAGGTACAACTTCAACTCCCAATTTCCTCATGTCAAATATGAGATTATTGGTGATGACCAATTTCAGTGTCACCAATTACAATATCAATTTCATCCACATCCACATTCACGTTCACAAATACAATAAAATAAATTATAAATCCCAAAATAAATTTATATTATTGATAGTCAGAATCAATCCACTTACTAATTTCTTTTAATATTTAAGTTAAAACATATAAAGATCAAACTTATACTTTTCCCATTCCTACCAAATCTTATATTTTTTCTTTACGTAACCTTACAGCACTTTACTATAAAGATTTTTTTTTATGAAGTTTATATAATATTTAGAAAATCATGTGATTTATATTTTATTTTTTTTATTGTTAATCACCTTTTTGAGTAGTACTCAAAATATTATGATTTTTTTTTCTATTTTAATCTTAATTTTTTTTCAAACAAACCATTGGAGGCCATCATTCTCAATAATATTGTCATCAATAACAATCCATTGATCAAATATGAGGAACTTCGCATCGCTTGCAAGCAGGTGATATGACAAATTGGATAGAAAAATACATCGATAATATAAATAAATAATTTATGCATCATAAATAAAAAGCGAACAATACTTTTTCATGAGCAAAATATGCTAACAAATAGGTATAAAGTATTTGATTTCACAAACATAACTCTGATGCCAATTATAAGCATAAAAATTATCCTTATATTACTATTATATATATATAAATATTAAAATCTAAAATTAAATAATAATATATTTAAATTTGTAATGTGTATCTTTTGATGTTAATCATAAAATTTTTATCTGATCTATGGGCCCACCATTGTAGGATCCAAAAGTTATAACGATGTTGATATGCAAGGAGAACTAGACTGACCTTCTTCATTTTTCCTATCATTCATAAGACCATTATAAGTGATGAATTAGGGACAAAGTGAAGATGAGAGAAGATTTAAAATCTTTCAATAATATTACTCTTTACAAAGTCCTGTTCTTTTATAGGTAGTACTAGAAGATCTCGAATAAATAATTAAGAGGATCTCTCCGATCAAGATAATCTCCTAAGGAATCTTATTATTATTAAACTTTATTTTTATTAATCGATAATCATAATCAGAATCTAATAATATCCATAATATATATTATCTAATTAGATAAGATCATATAATTTAATAAAAAAGATAATAAATAAAACTTAATAGAAATTATAATACTACCTTCAACCATAACATAGAAGGAGATTTAAAATAATAATAGCAAGAGAGAGGATTAAAAAAAAAATTTAAATAAATTAGAGATAAGATACCCATATACAAACAAGTGGGTGCACTGCGAAAAGTCAAAACACATAAAACTCGTAAAACTCGAAGGAATGAAAAAGCTTGTATGCCTATCTATGTTCAGGTCTTACCTCCTTATATACACTTTAGTCAACGTAGTAGCGATAAAGGAAAGAATGATATGGAACAAATAATTAAATCCCTAAAATAATTATATTAAATACCTAAATTTATGGAATTGATTCTGATTAACAATCTTTTCTAAGACCAATCGACTGTCTTGAATTTATAAATCATCCTTAATAGAGTGATTTATTTAGAGAAAGACTTTTCTTTAATAATATCGGAAACTACTATCAAATAACAGTTCTCCATTTTTTCGATCAAATCGGTCGGATTAATAATTATTCTATAAGGTGGATATTAATGTCAATTAGTTATGGATTATATGCATATTGCTAAAAAATAAAGATAGATAATTAGTCAAACATATTATTCATATTAATTAAATTAAGAAAAGTTCACCGAAAAGGAAGTCAAACGCTTCGAGTAGGTAAACATCTCTCTTGTCCTTCCATCACTGAGAATTCATCTAACAACAATTAACCTCTTAAGACATTTGATTACCCACAACTAAAGTGTGCTTAACTTGACAAGTTAAGGCATATTAATTAATAAGATTGACGAATATCTTTCTCGTTCTTAATGAGTTAAATCGAACTTTCTTTGAACGAAGAATGATACCTACTTATGTGAGATAAAGATAAGCAAAAATCGTGCATTACTATGATTTAAATAAGTCGATAGTATATAATAGTTTTAATCGACAACTTAACAGCCTTATATTAGGTTTGATTGATATGCAAGCAATTACATGTATGTTACTTCTAACTAATATCATTTAGATTTACTATCTAATTTAAAATCCATTATATCAAAGTAAAAAACTCATTAAATGATTCTTTTAAAAAGGCTAAGGAGTCGTCTCATATTGTTGTAACATTTTATAATGTAAATGCCTTTTAGTTTCCAAAAGAAATACAAGGAAAGAAACCATGCATCAATAATGAAAAATAATAATAGCTGAAATATGCATTAACTTTTTATATACGTTATTTCTTTAACTATTCAGATCCATAAAATATTTTTTTGTCTTATAATTGTCTTATAATGTTTTTGTTCTTAGATGAAAAGAAAAATTTTATAAGATAGTTGGTTCAGTTGTGAGACTAATAATGTTTTATAGATTTAAGTATCTTATTTTAAAAAATAAAATATAAAAAAGTTTATATTATCGAGATGAGAATATGAGATGCGTGAAGTTATTAGGAAAGTTAAGAAAATAAATATTTTTATTCCTAAACAATTGAGTTTCGTTTCAATAGAATATAAGATACGAAAAAATCGTTTAAGATAGTATAGACATAGTGAGATAAAATAATTAATTTTAATAGTACGAGGAGAGATAAAAAAAGATATTCTAATAAAAATCTAAGTAATATGAATATAACTAAACATATAACTTTTTATATATCTCAATAACGAAAACTGATCCAAATAGTCGACCCAAATAATCGAGACTTATGATTTTATTATTATTGTTATTATTTATTATTTACTAGAAAAAATGAAGACTCTTTTGAAGCCAATAAAAGATTAAATTTTAGGTTATTATTTGAATATATCTACAACAACATAGTTGCCAATGTAGCAGCGATTAGCATGATCAATCCCATTGGTTACCCTTTCACAAACTTCCCCTATCACATTCTGAAGTAACACAAGACATCTAAGCATACATACCATCACAAGCTTGGATTTGCAGGTTTCATGTGTAACTTGTGGGTCTGAATGATTCTAAGCAAAACACAAGGAAGGGAAGGGAAGAAAGAATAACACTTGCAGATGGAAATCAATCACTTCAAGAGTTCATATTTGAACCTTTAACGCCATACATATGCATAAATGATGAAAAGCCTGCATAAGGGCTTCACAGATAATAACCACAAGATAAGGCTTCGTGTAGAGAATTTGATGCGAGAGGGGATTATTTGGTCCTCTGGTTTCAAATGCATTTAATTTGTTGGTCTTTGGTATTGCAGCATTGTAAAAGACATGTACGTAATGCTTGTCTCACAATTGTTAGGAAAGTATTCATGAGAGTGGATTTAGGATTAAGAGAATAATTTTACGTTGCTAAGGATTGATTGAACGATTCAGATTAAGTATTGATATTCTTTGATTCGGATTGAGAGAAAATTTTACTTCCAATCAAATATACCACGTTGATCGAAATCTCAATAAAAAATATTCTTCAAATATTTTTTTTATATACAAAGAATATTTTCCTATTTGTTTAGGATTAGGGAGGATCGGTTATAAAAGATGGGCATGCATGGGTGTGGTTAAAAAGGTCTAATCATTTTTTTCTTTCTATACAACATACTTTGACACATGTTAACGATAGTTACAATCAAATCGCACGCTATACAAACAATGCAATAAGCGAATGTAATGGCTTTGAACCTCTGCTATAAAAGGGAGCTCATAAGTACATCTCATGATACGAAACAATTTTAGTTCGACTAGATTACTAACTTAAAAATCAAAATAACCTTTATAAGAAACGCCTTCAACGTAATTTTGTAGGAGTTTAGATGTCTGACTTGAAGAATTTTTCATTCAGATTAACTCGAAAAAAAAAAATCAACCTCTAACTGAAATAACCAAAATCTATTCTAATATAAGTCTAACTTAAATCTCAACTAACATCTATCTTAGTACAAGTCAAATCTAAGCTAAAGACTTCTAATACAAGTCAAATCTAAATTGAGTTGGGTTGCTCAACCACTCCAATGCTATCGTCCATTGATTTGACTATCGTATGTGAATTTTGAGTTCCATGAAACCTAAGCCAACCCAGAAAGAAAAAACAATAATACAAAAAAAAAATTGTACTCTTGCAATTCCAGAAACCTATGAGTTAGATTTGGCCAGACCAAATAAATTTAGGTCCTAAGCCTCTTTTAATTAGATAGTCTTCAGAGAAAACATCTGCAATGCACCTGGAGCAACTTAATCCACCATTCTGATTTAGTTAAGAGTTTTTGTCTTCAAGACAATTATTGTTCCTTCAACAAAGATTAGTCTTCAGCAAGAACAGCATGCAAGGCTTTCCATCCATGTCTCAATGAACCCAAGTTTGATTTGGTTGTATGTGAGCCAAAGGTGAATCAAATTAACCACCATAGTTAATTTGTTGTCTTCAAAGAAAACAGAGAAAGAACAGAGATTTTTCCTCAAAACTAGTAAATACTGATCACTGCATTACCCCACAACAGCAGCAGAGAGATTCTTCCTCGAGCTTTGGACACATCAACACAAACAAATCAGTGGGCGTTACAATGGAAAAAAGGTTAAATGGCAACACAGACTCACTAGGTTAGAGTTACTGTACGTCTACAGCAGCTCACGAGGAGGAGGAGGAGGAGGAAGAAGAAGTAGTGGAGACTATCTTCTCCAGCACCTGAACAGCTTCCTTCATGGAGGGCCTCCTTTGGGGATTGATGGCACAGCAGGCGAACCCCAGCTTGAAGCAGCTCAGTAGCGCCTCCTCCTTGCCCTCCACCTCGCCCCTCAGCCCCGGGTCGGCCACCCTCACCACCCTGCTCCTCTCCTCCCCCGCAAACCCCCCGTTCCACTGACCGAGCTCCGCCTCCGACAGCACCCTCCCGGCGAGCAACTCCAGCAGCACCACCCCGAAGGAGTACACGTCCCACTTGGCGTTGGGCTTCAGGTTCTGCAGGGACTCCGGCGCCTGGTAGGGAGCTGCGGAGGAAGACCCGCAGGGGCTGGCTCCCGCCACCGGCGGCGACAGGTCGGGCAAGCTGCTCTGCGACTGCACCGACCGCTGGCTGCCGAACTGCCGGGCCGACGTGCCCAGCCGGTGGCCTCCGTCGCCCGACGTAAGCCGATCGAGACCGAAGTCGCCGATCTTTGGCTCCATGTCTGCGTCCAACAGTATGTTGCTTGGCTTCACGTTGCCATGCACACCCTTCCTCTCGTGGAGGTACGCGAGTCCCCGCGCTACTCCTCGCACGATCCGAAGCCGCGATTCCCAGCTCAGGTGAAACGGCGACGAGCCCGGCTTCTCTGAGAACGACGATCGCACCCTGTTGAGCACCAAGTTGTTGGCGAATCAAAGAGAGGAGTAATGGCGATACTTACTGGTGAATGAGACGTTGGCCAAGCTGCCATTAGAGGCGTGGTCATGGATGAGGAGCTTCTCGTCAGCGCCCCAGTAGTATCCCCGCAGGCGGAGGACGTTCGGGTGGCGGAACTTGGCGATGCTCCGCACCAGCGCGTCGAAGTACTTCAGCTTGTCGATGGCACTGCTCTCGCCTATTCGGCGGACGGCCAAGGCGGTGCCGTCGGCAAGCACTGCCTTGTAGACGATGCCCGACCCAGTGGCGCCGAGTATGTAAGCCGAGGCTGTGAGCAGAGTATCCATCTCCAGATCCGTCTCGCCGTCGACAGCGACCAGAGTAGCCTCCTGTTGCTTCAGCTGCGGTGGGGTTCTTCCGCCAGCCTCCCCCTTGGCTCCCTTCTCATGCGGTCCCTCCCATTCTGCTTCTGTTTCGGAGGCCGAGGAGTCAGAGGTCTCTTCGCTGTCTTCTTCTTCCTCGCCCTTCTTCGTTAGACAGCATGAGAGCCCACCAAAGCCTTTGGATTCGGAGGATGCCGGTGGCTGCTCCTCCCTCATGCCAACGGCTCCGACTCCCTTCATCTGCTGCTGCTGTTGCTGTAGTCTCTTCCTCTTCTTCACATGGTACACGTAATACAACACTGCGAAGAGAACCCCGATGCCGACGACATCTCCGACCGCTATAGCGATGATCACCGCCGGTCGAAGTCCCCCCTGAGCTTGCCCGCTGCCGGACGGGGAAGTTCCCTCCGCCGCGTTTTTGGGAATCGCCGCGAAGGCCGGAGGAGACTTGGGCGCCGAAGGGGTTTCGGGAGGATTGGAGAGGGTGGAAGGAATCGTACAGAGATTCTTGAGCGGCTTCCCGCAAAGATCAGGATTCCCTGCGAACGCCGCCGGCTCCTGCGAGGCGAAAGCTCCAGTCTGTGGGATTCCTCCGGTGAGGTTGTTGAATGCGAGATCCACGATGGCGTTGTCCGGAATTTTCGATGCCAATTCCGGCGGAATCACGCCGTCGATCCGGTTGTAAGATAAGTTCAGGTACCGGAGGCTTTGCCCCCCGAAATCCGGCGGCAGGTAGCCATTGATGAGGTTGGAGCTCAGATCCAAGTACTCAATCCCGCCGAGCCCGCCTCCAGGGAGTTCGCCGGAGAGGTAATTATTGGCAAGGGCGACGACGGTGAGGTTCGGGAGAAGGCTAAGACCGGCTGGCACCGTGCCCACCAATGCGTTGTCGGAGAGATTTAGCAGCTGGAGGCTGCTCGTGCGGCCGTCGAGCTGAGGGAGCTCGCCGGAGATCTCGTTGTTGGCCAACGACAGCACATGCAGCTCCGACGCGTCGAAGATGGAGGACGGGAGGGTGCCGTTGAGGGCGTTCCCGGTGAGGTCGAGGTGGCGGAGGTGCTCGACGAGGCCGAGCTCCGGCGGAATGCGGCCCAATAGCTGAGAATTAGGAAGCACCAAACCGATCACCCTCGAAGCGGTCGAGGCCTGGCCATCCCCATTAAAGCTGGTAGCAGTCCAGTTGAGGGTGGTGGTGGCGTCCGGGAAGCCCATGCACATGACGCCGTTCCACGAGCACGGCGTGGCGTCGTCGTAGTTCCAGTCTCTAAGCGCAGCGATGGGGTCAGAGACGATGGAGTGCTTGAAGTGGAGCAGCAGCACGCCATCATGGTTGAGACCCAACACCAGCTCAAGGAGCAGAAGAAGCGAAGACAGCAGTAAAGCAGCAGTTCCATTACACTTTGGACTCATAGTGGTGCAAGCAGCTCATATCTCAGTGGGAAGGAGGAGGAGGAGGAGGAGAAGAAAAGGAGGAGGGAGTTGTTCAACAAATCCTGGCATATAGAAAGAGTACAGCCAGGAAGAAACAACTGTAGGAAGCTATAAAATAAGAACACAGCTCACACAAAGGACTTCTCATGGTCTGAATTCTGAACCCTTCATAAAAAGTGCTGCTGCTTTATAGGGTTGAGCCAAACTGCTCTTACCTGTGGCTCAAGTTACCTAAATCATTGGGCAATGGCTGAGCACGCAGGGAGAGAGAGAAAGAGGAGGGAGAAGAGACATGTGTCAGTGGACACATGAGAAGAGAAAAAGGAAGGGGGAGGGAATGTAAGTGTTTGCGCGTTTCTTTCTCTTCCCTTTAACATGTGCTGTGAACTCCCATGGAAGAGTTGCTCAGTGTTCACATTCTCTGTAGACACCATGCGAAGCTGGTGATTGCAGAGATGATGGCGGTCCACACAACAACATATTCTTCTTCTTCTTCATCATCATTTGAAGCTTACAAGTCCACCAAATCACCTACTGCAACAAAGGAATACAGGTTTTCGTTTTTGGGAGAGTGGAAGGGTTTTATCAGGGAGACATGAATCAATGCATGGAATAAACCTCTATTCCTGGTTGGAAAATGGCACGATTGTGCCTGCAACTGGACATAGGAAAAGGACTTCCGCACATTGATCACTGTAAGGAACAGCATTTGCCAGCTGACTCTCCTGTCCTATGAAGAACAGGTAATGCAATTGATTGCTTGCAGGAATTGGTGTGGCTACGGCCAGGAGTAAAGTTAAGTACTACTCTCCCCTGGACTCATGATGGGCATCCGCCAATCTTTCCTCAGAAAGCTACTGCTTTTTCCTTCTCACTTCTCTTGTGGGGAAAGATTGGCCACATGACTAGCTCATGTATCAGAAGACTGCACTAGTGGGATTTCTCTGTGCATGTCAAAGATCATGGTGATGAAATTTATTTAGATTGGTTTATCAGTGAAGTCACATAGTGAAAGGGGCCAACTCACTTGTAACAGTAGCTGGACTTCATCTTCTTTACTATACTGTACTGTACTGTACATGAATGGCCTTAAAAAATGGGAAGGCATACAGGATGAAGAAAGAAGAAAAAGGCAATTTGATGGGACAAAGAGCCAAACAGTTATAGGAGTTTCTAATCATCATCAGTGATTAGGTTAAGCCTACCAGACATAATTTTAATGCTTTATTCCTCCAAAACTTCAACAAACCATATTTCCTGCAAGCATTCTTTATCATCTTGGCATGCAACACCACCATCTCATGATGCTTAAATAATTGAACAGGATGTCATACATTTGGTAGGTCTGACTCTATCAACTCCAATATCATCTGTTCCCCATCAGCTCTCATAAACAACAATTTCCATATTTTCTGCTGTAAGCACATATCTGCCCACATTTGTTTATACTTTCCTTGGACTTATGATTGTCCCTGTCACAAGATGATATATATTGACTTGGATCTCCTCAGGAGGTGATGTGAACACCTCACATGAGCAAAGAGGATTTGTGAGATTTTTGTGTGTGAAACCATTTTGTGTTCATAAACTCAGTTCAAGAAAAGTTATATTTTCTAATAAAACACAAACATGATGTAAGTCTATTATACTTTGTTAGTCTCCCCACCAGAGTTTGTTTCTTGCATCGAATCTTTGGTATGGATGCATGTAGGAATCACATCAATGATGAAGGAGGAACAGAGGACAATCCAAGAGAAGAAACCTCATGCCACCAATTCATGTACCAATTGCTGGGAATCTAATAGCTAAGAATTTATATTCTTGTCTTCCTTCTGGTGGTTGTTTGCCCACCTTCCATTTATTCTTGACAGGAGCAGTGAAGAGAGTTGGCCAACCAACCATCATTTATGCTCTCTGCAAGAGAGATGAGTTTCTGGTCAACTAACAGGACTTAGGTTATTCATCCATTTGACTTCTACTTCAGTTCATATTAAACATGTACAAAATGTAAGTTTTGGATCGTAGAGGAGACTAGACTTTGACAGACGAGTTGACTGAGTGTTGACTATATAGGTCAATGCAATGCTCATCAGCATTAGTAAGTCAACAAGATGCTTGTGTGTTCTAACTTCTAATTATATGTGATCAAGTGCTTTTGTTCATAAGCTTTAATCGAAAGCTAGCTTAGATACATGGTAATGACTTGTCGACCTGATGTCTAGAAATTAGAACTTTGTGCACATCAGACTTGACCTGATATGCCAATTGTTATATGTAGGTTGAACAACAACTGCTATTTGCCTCGGGTTGGTTAATCAATGGTCAGGTTGATTCGACTAACGAAATCGCTTCTCTAATTGTATAGGAGAGACTACATTTTAGACATTTCATTGAGTTCTTGTTCATTATTTTCTTTAATCAAATCAATATACTTGGCCACATAAATTAATTGTTGAAAACTCCTGGAATTCGACCACAAACTTTGGATGAAAGGATGATCAACTCATCTCTTTAACCACAAGGTTAACTGCTCACAAGACTGACAAATCCTCAAATACATAACTTTCTTCCAACTTCATGTATCTGTTGAATCTCAATGACATAGACTGACCAGAATCCCAAGTCGATAATGTTTATAATCCAAAAGAACCATCTGATGTTTGTTCCAAGGGAAGGTTTTGGTTCCTTTGTTGTTTCTCTGTAGATAAGAATCAAGACTTTTACAAGCCATCTCCCTCGGAAGAGCCATTGCTGACTAGTGCAAGAAACAAACAATTTAGCCTCCACAAGGCCGTGTTTCCAAACTATGAATCATCAATTCACTGTAGATCCCAAAATCCAATTGGAATCGGTGATCCATCGAGCCGAGAGTGAAAGCAAGCCAAGGTCATCTAATTGAACTATGGTTTGAATCCTAAGCCTATTGAAACTGAATCCGACAGTAAATGTACCCTAACAAACCAAGAACTGCCGCGAGCAAAATCAAAGAATTCATTTTTGAGACCAACTCGCCGTCCACGAAATCTGTATAGCCTCAATTTCTTTACTTGGATTCCACCTACTCTCGAATAGCATCCAATGATAATAAGGAGAATGTGGCCGACAAACAAGTACCTGTTTAATGAGGATCCCGATCGGCTCGATGTCCTTAGGATCTCCTCCTCCTTATGGGATGCGCGCAGAAAAGGGACTCCCCACAGGAGGCGAAGAGCGGTGCGGCAAGAAGCCATCATCGCCACCGTCGCTGAGAAGGGCAAAGGCTGTAGCAGCAACAGCGGCAAAACCGCGAAGAGGGGTGATGGGTTCAACGACTGTTATAATGGATCGGGCCTGCGTATAGGAATCCGATCCAATTGGACCCGCAAATCTCATCAGAAAACCCGACTATATTTATATGTACCCGAATCCATTATCTTTTTCTTTTCGAAATCCAATTTTTTCTCGTGAAATAAAATAATCCGATTAAAGGGTAAGTAAAATAATCTTATTCTTCTTTATTTTTTTTCTTATCGATAATTTGCTTAACAAATATGTCAATTAGTCGAAGACTAAATCTTGATATATCTATCTTTTTATTAGCATGAGAGTTAATAGATCAATGCTAACAAAAGAAATAATATATAAATATTAGGAGCTAAATTATTTTGATCAAAGATAAACTATAAGATGATATTTGGTGATAAATCAGCGTAAATGATAAATATTGCTACTCGACATCTTTAAAATTTATCGAATGAAATTTTAAATCTTCGATTTTGGATAACTAATATTATGTCTTAAATTTATCAAATAACATTTCAAACCCTCAAACAATAAGTGAATATGGTATAATATTATCGTACTAATATTTTATATGTAAAAATTATCAGAGGATGTTTTGAACTCTTAATTACATGTTAAGTTTATCGTTAAGAGGGTTCTAATTGTGGGTCGTGTCAAAACAAGCGTTATCCAAATGATTAATTTGTTTTTTGAGTACGTATTAATTTGGAATCCGAGATTATACAAGAAAATATAATTCCCAATTGAGTGGTTAAATTTGCTAAAATATTTAAACTTGACAAATATAATTCCCAATGAAATCAAATTGTTTTACGATCATTAAATGGAATAATATTAATAGTGTTTTGAAGCAAATAAAAAAATGAAATAATATTAATAGTGACCATTAAATGAAACACATTAAAATAAGGGGTCTCACTTTACATTAAGATTAACATATATCTAAATAACTCAAGTTAACTATCCAACTAATCTTAAGATATCAATATCATTAGTTTCGATTAGAAATCTAATGATAACAATTAACCAAATGTGCCACTAAGATGAATCCATAAGCATGATGAAGCACTCCAAGTGGCACATTGACTTTGACTCGCTCAAATTAGAAGGATCGTGTAATACGATTGAAAGAGTGTTACATGTTTATGTGGTCAAAGGCCATAAACCCCTACCAAGGAAAATGAGGTGATCAACTTGTCGTGATCCGAATTCTTAATCTCTTTGTACAATATATTCCAATAAACACATCAAAAAGTGTGGAATAGAAAATTCCACTGAATGCCAATTCTTTGACCGACTGATTCTAAAGTCACTCCTACTTTTCTCTCTTCTTTCTTTCTCTTCTTCGATCCATAGTTTAATAAACGATCATTGATTTTGACCCAAATTGAATTCAATAATTGTGATACTTGAAAATTAAATCATCGATAATTCTCTCAAAATATTTTTTTTATAATTCTTATGTCATATCTAAAACTATTGGTCAAAATAATATTCCTTCCATATTCAAATTAGTATGTGAATTGATGTGAGAGTAAAAATATTCCTCTGAGTATGAGTCTTTTATTATAGGGGGTTAATGAAGAGAATATTTTCTTGTATTGATAAGACAAGTTTGACTAATTTAGTTAATTAACTATTGATTAACTAATTTGGGGTGACTGATTGATTGAAAATATATATTATAATATATATATAAATAAGATTAAGTAAAATAAAACCGATTAATATTTTATATATCACATCATTCGTTCAAATATTCGTGACCTAGGTTGCGTGAAGACAACTTGAGTTGATTTCAAAGTTGACTTGTTGCCTTATGTAGAAGTCAAAAACAGTGTGCATATTGAATATTGAATATGACCAAATCAATTATTACAGTCAAAATAGAGAGGTAAAGAAAAGGATTTTGACAGTTGAAGCATTAATTAGCTATAGAACATGACAATCACAAGGTTATAGTCATAAAAGGAAAAAATATTTTATAACACATGATAATATAATTATCTCTATAAATATCTCTAGATTTAGAGTTAACTAGGGTTTTATTCCACATCTATCTCTGATTTGTGTCAAAACAAAAATATCAAACCATATAAAATTATGTTAAAATATATCTGATAAAATCTCTCTACTGCTTGAATTAGTTTAGAGTTTAGGAATCCATTGTATGCTAATATTTATAGAGTCAAATGCACAAAGACTATGCAAATTCTTGTGTATTAAGAAATACATCCGATCGAGTTTTTTATAGTATGAATTTACGATCATCATATTCCAAGATGCACATTGATATCAAGATGATTATGTACTCCTTTTAGTCCTAGTA